CCGTCCTCTTTGCTCACCCTTGTGCCAACCGGCAGAACTGTACCTGTGGGCTGCTGTACAACATGCTGCCGCCCGCCAGAAACCAGAAGCTGAAGTTCTACATTCCTCCTTTTCTGGCCAGAGACGCTGCGGGGGAAACATTTCTGCTCCTGTCAAAGGAAAAACCCTATAATGTCGCCTTTGACCCAGACTCGCCGCTGGTCAAGACCTCCGGCACAGCCATCCTCTACCGGCCTGGCCTCCTCCTCGCTCTAGTCCCAGAGGAGGACTTCGCCTCCTGCTTTGTAGTCAACCACATCCCTGATACGAAGGGCTTTGCTGTGATCGTGGTCCACAAGGATTTCACTGACGGGGTTCGAATTGGAGATCTTCCTCTGAAGAATCCGGCGTGGCAGAAGCTGAAAGGGACAGAGTTCGTCTCTACAGCACTCAACCTGGTGCTGCCACAGAATTTCATCTGGCACAAGTCCTCCAACATGGCCGTCTACTTTGTGGGAAAGACTGAAAGTGGTCTGTTTGGGAACCCAGCTCCCATCATCAGTACAAGTCCAGGTGAGGACCTTCACCGTCACTGTGTCTCCTGTGTTCATATAAATCAACTTTTTTATCCAGGTTTTAATCCATAGATTATTGAACAGGCCTGTGGGACCCAGGGGGTCAGGGGGCCCTGGGCCAGAACCATTGAATGAGGTGGCTATTAAGGAGACACAAAACAACTACAAAGAGACACAAAACAACCACAAAGAGACAAACAACCACAAAGAGACACAAAACAACCACAAAGAGACGAACAACCACAAAGAGACACAAAACAACCACAAAGAGACGAACAACTACAAAGAGACACAAACCAACCACAAAAAGACACAAACCAACCACAAAGAGACACAAACCAACCACAAAGAGACACAAAACAACCATAAAGAGACGAACAACTACAAAGAGACACAAACCAACCACAAAAAGACACAAACCAACCACAAAGAGACACAAACCAACCACAAAGAGACACAAAACAACCATAAAGAGACGAACAACTACAAAGAGACACAAACCAACCACAAAAAGACACAAACCAACCACAAAGAGACACAAAACAACCATAAAGAGACGAACAACTACAAAGAGACACAAACCAACCACAAAAAGACACAAAACAACCACAAAGAGACAAACAACCACAAAGAGACACAAAACACCCACAAAGAGACACAAAACACCCACAAAGAGATGAACAACCACAAAACGACCACAAAGAGACACAAAACAACCACAAAGAGACACAAAACAACCAAAAAGACACACAAACCTACTTCAAAGAGACAAACACCAACCACAAAGCGACAAACAACCATAAAAAGACACAAAACAACCACGAAGAGATGAACAATCACAAAGAGACAAAAAACAACCATAAAGAGACAAGAAACAACCAAAAAGAGACACAAACCAACCTGAAAGAGACAAGCACCAACCACAAAGAGTAAAAAACCAACCACAAAGAGACAAACAACCACAAAGAGACACAAAACAACCACAAAGAGACACAAAACAACCACAAATAGACAAACAATCACAAAGAGACGAAAACCAACCATAAAGAGACAAAATAAAAACAAAAAGAGACACAAACCAACCTCAAAGAGACAAACAACCACAAAGAGACACAAAACAACCACAAAGAGACACAAAACAACCACAAAGAGACGAACAACCAGAAAGAGACGAACAATCACAAAGAGACAAACACCAACCACAAAGAGACAAACAACCACAAAGAGACACAAAACGACCACAAAGACACACAAAACAACCACAAAGAGAGAAACAAGCACAAAAAGACACAAAAAAACCACAGAGACAAACAATCGCAAAGAGACAAACGATCACAAAGAGACAAACAAGCACAAAAAGACACAAAACAACCACAAAGAGACACAAAACAACCACGAGACAAACAACCACAAAGAGATAAATACCCATTGTGTGTCTTCCTCTGCTCTACAGATCTAAGGGGCTGCACCTTGACTCCAGAGGTTGTAGAATTGGGAGACGAGGCCCTCGGCTGGCGTGAATCTCTGCAGTACTGCAGAGACAAGAACCTGGAGCTGGTCAGCCTCTCCGATGCCACACTCTGGGCACAGATCCACAAAAAGATTGTCCAGGCCAACAGCGACAACGTGCGGGACGTGTGGATTGGCATGCGCCGAAGCTCCCTGACCGGAGAGTGGTACTGGCTGAACAAAGACCCAGTCACTGACACCAACTGGGAGAAGGGGGAGCCCGGAAAGGTGGACGACGGCCAGTGTGCCATCATGAGTCTGAAAAAGAAAAAGGACTTTGGGTGGAGTGACAGGGACTGCTGCAAGGCTGCTCGTCCTCTCTGCTACAGCAAGCCGGTCCTCTTGCCCCTCCCCCCTTCTCCCCCCCCCGCTTCCCTAACTGAACGGGATCGGTGAACGGGCGGGAAAACATGAACCAACCCCATCAGGAGACCGGTGTTGTGTCCACGTCTGTTCCTCCGTCAGATAGTGTTTCTCTTCTGTGGAAAACGAGCTCACAGGTCATCTGTGCAGCAGGTTGTTATGATATCATAGGTAGGTTTTGTTGCTAGGCAACATCTAGTAGTTGTAGTGATGACAGGAGCAAAAGGAAAAGTCTCGGTGACAAAGTCCACATCAGGTGGATGGATGAATATGACACAGGCTATTTCAGGAGACACTGCTGTGGGTCATTTCAGAGGGATGATGGTTGTTACCCACCCCACCCCCACAACACCCCCTCTGTGGTTAGGTATATATATTCATAATCATATAGACATCCTTTATAGTTGACTGATATTACTAATGTTGTTACAATAAGTTTCAAATATATGAACCAGAGGATTAACAGCCATCAGCCATGTGATCAGTGACGGTGTGTTCAGGAACCTGCAGCCCGCAGCATTCCCTCCAACGTTCTGTTGTATAGTGTAGTTTGATGAAAACACCAGAAACTTTCCATGATCCGTGATCCACTGAAAACAAACAGACATGTGGAAAACTGCTTCATGACGGCCACAGAAATTAAATGTGATGTTTGTTCTCTGCTCTGTAAATCACCTGTGTTCTCCTGTGAGAGAAAATCACAAAAGGGAGAATTTCTAATTTGACCTTTCTTGTTTTATGATGACTCCATGTTTTCCTTTAATTTGACAGAATACTTTCCACACAGACAGAGAATGTTTTTGGATACAGCCAATCGAAGAGGGTGACAGTATATAGTGACATAAAAATGATATATGAATTAGGAATTGATCGATTGTTTAGAGGACATAATTTCCAACACTTTTGTGTCTTTACTTCAAAACCAGCTTTCAGACTGTATGTAGAAAGACTTGGCTCAGTTGCATTTGTGATGTTTTGGACTGTACCATTAAATTCATCATAATGTGTGAAATACACAGCTGTTGTTTCCCTTCATTATTATTTAATCTTCTAAAGTTTAATGTGATTTTCGTTTGTTGCCAAAATCAGGAGCAAAGGCTGAAAAGAGCGTCAACATTTAACATATTAATATCTGATGTCGTAACCAGTAAAACTCATCACTTCTGTCATGTTTGCTCCTGGCGTCCTCTACTTTGTTTTATTTTGAAAACTCTGGGGTTGCGTTTTATTTTGAAGACTCTGGGGCTGTGTTGTGGTGAACATGGGCGTCCTCAGGGTTTTAGAAATACAGAGAGGGGTTGTTGGGGGGGAGGTTTGGTGCATGCTGCAGTCAGTTTTGTTTGTGTTGACTAGCACAGGGAAATAATGCTAATGCTATCCTGGGCACAGTGGGCAGTACCTGCTCTTCCTCTCTCATCTCCTTCTCTCCTTCTGTTTCTGTCCATCTCCTCATCTTGTCCTTTATCTCTCTTCTTTGATTGTTTCAGTCTTTTCATTTTTGCCTGAGTTAGTGAAGAAAGTAAACACATGGTCAATTGATATTTATATGCAAATGCAACCGACCAAGAGAGCGATTGTAGGGATATAAGACTTTCTAATTGCTAGCAAGATAAATAGCTAGTACCTATATTTAAACAAACAGACACAATAGCCAGCTCGTGGTACACATACATACACAACCCTATTTTACATTTTCAGTCAATGACAGATCAGAAAACTAAACCATTTGCTAGCTAGGCGTAGCTAATGAAGGAACATTGTTTATTCGGTAACCAGACATTTAGCTACAGATAAGGAATTATCAATGGCGTCATCATAGGAAAGGGATTTAAATGTATTCTTTTACTTGTTTTTAATTGGTAAATGAGGCTAACCAACCTGCTTTCAGCACCTCTCGCGCGCTCACAAAAAATGCGCGAATGCCAAATAGTGTGACGTAGATCTGCAGCTCGAAGAGAAGAGACGGTTCACTTTCAATTATTTCCTGTAAGTGTGTCACGTGGGTTTCTCCCCCTCCCCGCCCCTTTAGGAGACCAGCGGCAGGTCCGAGTCCGATCATTCCAATGGGAGACGTGAACGTGATCACAGATTGTCATCGATTCTTTCGCACTATAGTCACCGAAATAAATATTGTCTCAACTTTTCACAAGCCACGTATCATCTGATACGTTCTCTATTTTAATGCTTAATGTCTTTGCTGCTCCTCCTCCAGAGGATTTACTGCAGAGGAGACAATCTACTCCCTGTTTACACCGGCTCGCACATGCTCAGGTGTGTTAGTGTAGATGGAGATGATTTCTGATACGGAGTTAAAATTCTTGTGGTTTTCAGTTTTAAATCACCATGTTTATTAATGCGCAGTATTTGTCAGCATCGTTTGTATTTTATAGAATATTACAAACATATTTTATATTTACTGTGTCTCACTATATTGTTGCTTTATCTGTTTATGCAGCAGCCTTCAGTGGTGGTTTAACAGAAGGTTAGAAACAGTTATCACATCTTTATTTGCTGATTATAAATTATATTTATTTATAGTGATGCATAAAGAACATTAGATTACGTCAGAGCAGGTCACTTCCACCAGCAGCTGACTCCCTGCAGAGCTGCCCCCTGCACAATCCACACCCCCATCCCAACCAGCAGGATGACCTTTGCCCCCACAGACACTGACAGGAGGAGCAGGAGGGGAGGCGATGCCCCAGCCACGGAGCGCAGGGGTTGGGGGGGCAGGACGTAGAGGGTGGCCTGCTCTTTGCCCAGCGGGTTGGAGGCGCTGCAGGTGTACTGCTGGCCAGGCTCCACGTCTCTCAGCTGGCTGACGGTGTGGTAGTGAGCTGGGGTGCCCTGAGCCAGCGGGCCAACCGGCGAGCCCTCCAGCAGGTCGTCCGGGCCGAGCCACTGCACGTCAGGCAGGGGGGAGCCCTGGACCCGGCACAGAGCTCTATAACCGGACTGCTCCCCGCCCTCCACTGTCAGAGCCAGGATCTTCGGAGGAGCTGCAGACAGACAGGAGGGAAAACACATGAGGAAAATACAGTACCACCGTCGCCCCCTGCTGGCAGGGCTGGGTCACCAACTTGGCAACTGCCCCGGGGCCCCAGGGGTCATGATTCAATTCTAAATTACATTGAAGTGGAATATGAACTGACTGATCCTCCATGTTGTGGCTCTGCTCTGGTGGAGAGTCTCAAAATCTAGTTTTAAAACCTTGACTGTTAAAATCTTTAAAATACTAATTAAAATAATCTATCAATTATCACAACGAATGTTCTGTCAGTCGATTGATTTGATTAATTGTTTCAGCTCTAGAGTGAAACAGAGGGACCCAACAACAAATCTTCACCCGGGCCCCTCAGTGGGTCGACCCTGTCCCGGGCCCCGTACCTTCCACTCTCAGTCTGGTCCCCATCTTGTCCTCGAAGCTGACGTGCTCTCGTCCCTGAACCTCCACCCTGCAGTAGTAGCGACCGCTGTCCTGCAGGGTGGCGCTGCTGATGCGCAGCGACAGGTCGTGCTCTCTTGGGTTTCCCTCCAACCGGTAGCGCTGGTCCTGCTGGGGCCCCGGCTCGCAGGTGGGGGCCCCGGGCCTGCTAGTGCAGCGGTACAGAACAGCGGCGCCCTGCCCGTGACCCAGACGCCACAACACCTGCAGGGAGGAATGCTGGGAGTGCTGCGGGTGGCTGAAGGTACAGGGCAGCACCACCGGGTAACCGTCGATGGCTCGGACCTCCGGCTGTACCTTCATTGACCAGCCGTCATCTCCAGAGCCGAGGGCTGGTGGGAGGGGGGAAAAGGAGGGGGGAGGGGGGTGACAGCTGACAATTCTCCAATACACAGTCAGGTCATTGATTACTTTAAAGACACAGTCTCACATTTCATCTTAGCTCCGCCTCCCACCTCAAAGTGTCTGATTCGCTGGTTGGACCTTTTTTATTGAACAGTTTAACAACACACAGCGGCTACAGCCATGCTAACTTAGACTTAGCAATGCCTTGATGCTAAATGCTCATGTTTAGCATGTATGATGTCACCATGTTCTCCATCTTAGTTTTAAGCACAGCTGAGGCTGATGGAGCCTCATCAGTTCTGCAGGTGTTTGGTCATAGAGCATTCAATCGTGACGTGATGGTGGCACTAAACAACAACGACACAGCGCAGGCCTCAGAGACGTGCTAGCATGGCGGAGATGTACTCATCCATCTGCCCACACCACATACAGGTGGGTGACAGACTAAACACAACATGTATCTTCATTGTTGATTACAGTTTGTTTCGATTGTGAACACAGTCAGAAACTGAAGTCTGCATGGACGTAACTGTCAATCATTTCATCGCTGCCACACTAAATGCATCAATTGCCACATTTCCCAAAACCCACGAACTCTTCTCTCATTCACACTCCACCAGCTAAACACTCAAACACACTGCTAACACACTGTTTTCAAAACTGTTAAAGACACTGCAAAACAGAATGACATGAAATCTCCTGCATTTCTGCAGGAAACATATTGAAACATATAGAAAATCTGAGCAGAATATTTACAGTAAAATGAAATAATGAGGAAGGAAGGAACTGTGGCATCGATATGTCCAGGTGAGCTGTTCAATAACCAAACAGGGACATACACAGCTACACATGTAGATACTGTGACACTGATTTACTGTAGTTTAGAGAGTCATGGAGATGGAGCAGGTAAACTGTACATACGATCTTTGTGGATGAAGTTATTAAACTGTACATTTTGTTTTTGAAGTTATTATTGCAGCCCTGGAATTTCAGGAATTAGTTTTTTGTTTCAAATAAATGACTATCCAAAGATATAGAAAAAATAAAGGATATTGAAGCAAATTGTTATTTTCTGATTCACTCGTCACATTTACTTTAGTACAGTCAATAAAGTGAAAAGGTAATATTCTTATAATGTAATGAAATGAAATACTGATTGACTGTGAAAAATGATTCAAACTTCAAAGATGAAAGTTAATAACAATGTGACAGTGTTTTGAAGTCAGTGTTAGAGTGACAGGTGTGAGTGACAGGTGTTGTCAGTGTTAGTGAGCTCACTCTGACACAGGTGAGGAGAGTTCTGGAGTTTGGCCGAGATGCAGACAGTATGAAGAGTGGCCTCAGTATTGACCGATGCTTGTTAGCAATATATACAAAACTGTAATATGTTGATTATTTTCTCAATTAATTGATTAGTTGTTCATCTAAAAAATGCTCCTCACAAATATCCAAAGTTAAAAGTCAGAGATTTAGTTCACTGTCACAGAAGAAATATATTTTCTGTCTATTGACTGATCGATTAATCAACTAATTAATCAACTTGTTTAAACTGTAGATTTCATCCTTTCATTTAGCACCTGTTCACACATTCTCTACTCATACTCAGCCTTCTCTGTGACCTAGAGGACCACAGGTGAGACTGAACAGGTGTGAGTCACTGAATGACAACAATAAAATAACACAACACTGTTTGATGTCCCACCTACAGCTCCGCCTCAGTCCTACAGACACGTCTGTGTGTCGAGCTCAGAACAGAAACTACAGAAACAGCCACAGCGTCACGTCCCTGAGTGAAGATCATGTACCTGCCTGACGGTGTGTGAAGCAGCTCACCTCCTGCAGCAGACATCAGCAGACTCACAGAGCTACAGAGCAACCAGGCCACCATGATGACTGAAGACACCACACACAAGGTATGAGGTGAATATGTGTGTGAGTGTGAGTGTGTGCGATTCATGTGACTCACAACCTCCAGACTGTGCGTTTTCCTGCCATTCTTCCTCTTTTTTATTTTTAGGAGGCAGTTGTGGAGCAGCTGAGGAGCAGAGATGAGGCTGTTTCATCCTGAGTGAGTTTCTTGCTCCTGATGGTGAAGTGAAGCGTCGTGAACCGCTGACGGTTTCCTCACAGCCGTGATCAACACTTCATCACTGGAAGCTTTTAAAATCACAGCTGGATGGCGACCTCTGCTGGTCAGAGTGAGGAAAAGCACCGTGATACATGACATGAATCTCCCTGAAGACAAAATGAATGAATTGATAGATGAATACATGAATGGACAAATTAATCAATGAATAAATTGATACATAAATAAATAAACATGCTTATAACTGAAAAACAATACGTGACATTTAAATTGCGGATTTAGACATTGTCCAACTCATGAATAGAAGAAGTAAAGAAACACACACACACACACACACGTCATGGTTAACATTACCAGCGTTTGTAAGTGCTGTGACTTTTATTAAGCGTGTGTTTGTTTTCGTGTTTTCTCTTATTGGAAACGGTGACCCTTGACCTTTTAAAAACAGGTGTAACACCAACTGAGACGAAGTAAGATCAATGAACTATGATGAACTGTTTGTGTTCGACCTTTGACCCGCTTCTTAATTTAATACATTCAAAATACTTAAAACACTTTGTTCCTCAAGAGGAAAAATATACATAAAAATAAAAATAAAAACATGTTCAATCCTGAACTTCATAGTGTGAAATCACAGGTTCAGTGACTGTCTGTCTGTCATCCCATTCTTGCTCTCCAGGTGATGAACCACTTAGATCCGAATGACCCCATGACCTTTCCTCTTGCTCCACCCTCAGACTCTAAGAACAGACGAATCATCAGGACGTTCGTACATTGAAACAGCAGCAGGACGCCAGACTTTAAAGAACGTCAAACATCAAATACAAAAAAATGAAAAACACAACGTGTTAGGTGGGTGTGTGTTGAATACTCTGTGTGACTTCCCTTAAAGCTGCCTCCCTCAAACAGGAAATATTCATGTCACGTGACACGGAACTTCCTCAATTCCTATTTTAGTTTGAAAGTTTGAGGACTTGGCTTCTCTCGTTGGGTGTCACTTGTGTCCGATCAGTCTGAGGATGTGGCTAAAGACTCAGTCCTTCTTTCTGATTCTGTCTGTGATCGTCACAGGTAAGACCCTTTATCACCTGCTCAGGTGGGATGGACCAAAACATCTGAAGCTGGTTTGTGGTTCGAGTTTAATTGAAACGCTGTATGTTAATGACAGGGCTCCTCCAGTGACTCAGTCTGTCAGTCTGTGGTGGAACTCACAGGAGACACATTTCAAAAAGAAGAAGAAAGAAAGTTCGATCAAACTTTGAACTGAAATGTTGATGATGACGCTACGTGAAAAGTCAGAGGATCAGCAGAGTTACTGTAGATCATCCTGAGAGCAACACGAACGTCTGAACCTCATTTCACCACAATCCTTCCAAGAGTTTGTAAAGTACGAGACTGAGAGACAGAGATGTCCAGGTCCTAATGACATCATCTCAGACACAAATAACCCTGATGAATCATCTGGGTAATTTTCCAGAGCCACAGAAGAAAATCATCATCATCATCATCATCCATCCATCCATCCACTGCTGCTTATCCAGACTCAGGTTGTGATGGCAGTAGGTTATAAGCAGCCCAGACATCCTCCTCCCCAGCAACATTTTCCATCCCCTCCTGGAGGATCTTGAAGTGTCCCCTCTCCAGTGTGTTCTGGGTCCACCTCAGCGTCTCCTACCAGTTGGACGCACTCTGAAAAACCACCGCTGGAAGACGTCCAGGAGGATCCTGACCAGAGGCCTGAACCACCTCAGCTTCACCTCAGTTTGAAGCCAATTCAGATTCAAAGTTTAGTCCTAGAAATTGTCTGCACTTGATTCTGCACAGGGGGTTAAATTCTGGTCCAAACGTGTAGAATGGTCCCTTTGTCCATCTGTGGTGTGAGGATCCTTAGTTTGAGGTTTAATGTAGATATAATGTTGTGTTCAGCAGCTCATGTAAAGGGAACATTTGACAGCAGACCAGCACAAGAATCGTTCAGGGACTACACAGCGGCAGGAATTTAAACTCATCTCCAGGGAACCATGTATGTCCTGTTTCATCCAGTGCTGTAGTCTACGTGATACGCAGGTACACTCCGTATTCCCACTAAGGAAGCTCCAGAATTTCCGTATAACTACTTAAAAATACCCAAACATACATAACAACATCGTTTTTGACAGAACTTTCACTTCAGCAGTTTGTTTGTGTGAAAAACGGGTCGAGTGATCTCAGTAAATTCAACAAACCTGTGTCACAGTGTCCCGCCCACAGCACCATCTGATTGGTTAACGTCACGAGAAACAGCCTATCACGCTAAAGGCCGCCCTGAACACAGACGGTCACAGACTGGAGCCGGAGCTGAGTGTCGGAGGTGAAACAGTAGACATCCCTGAGGCTGTAATAAACATCTCAATCCTCTACAGTGAAGTTATAACAACACCACACTCTGATGAACAAGTTCACCTGTTGATCCGAGACACACCGAGAGAGAGAGAGAAAGAGATGCTAGCACTAACTGCAAGGCTAAAGTACCTCGCTCTTCAAATTAGCATGTATGCTAAACTACTGCTTCTTTTAGCGACTTTCACCAAAGAAAAGGCCTTACCTATCCCAAGGTTCATTGCGTGCGGGTAATGAAAGCAAACATCGTCGACAGAGCCAATTTTAACTAAGTATTGGGTTTCAGCTCAGTTCAATAGCAAACGGCTCAACTGTTAAAACCAAGGACCTTAAAACAAAACGTTCTTGTGAACGAAAAAGTTACGTTTTGTCAAGGGTTGCTATCCGACAGGCCCGTGCTCTGTGACGCAACGGTAACGGCCACAGACATACACGTAGACGCCATAATGGCTGCTGGATCGTACGTCAACGTCGCCGCCATATTAGAGCGGGAAGACTGCTCTGTAAATAAGCACAGGTAAACGGAGAAGCTGAAGTTTTTCTGGATTCAAATCTCTAAAACATTTATATTTCTCAGCCGATTTCAACGAGTCACTTCTATGACAATGAATTATTTTCCACCGCGTAGACTTATTAGGTTCATGTTAACCTAACGTTGATACATAGATCTTTATGGAAAACAGTGATTTCAGCCTAAAATATCACGATTCTAAGTAACTGGGGACTAAACCTTTACTTTCACTGCACGAAGATAAAAAAAAAGTGGAATATATAAACGATCTGTTTAATTCGGTTGAGAAATATAAACATAAAGCTTTTTATCCAGAAAAAATGCAGCTCCTCTGTTTAGACTATTTCACAGGGCAGTTTTGCCCGGACCAATATGGCGGCGACGTTGACGTATCGCAGCAACAGGCTGAAGCGACCAATGCGGAGTCTATCTACTGTATATATGTCTATGGTAACGGCGGGAACAGTTGGTGACGCACAGCGAGAATCTTCTTCTACCCACTAATATTAAGCAGACTACACCACTGGTTTCAGCCCCTGGCGGTCCAACACCTTTGCAGAGGAAACGTCCAGAAGACTCAGCCTTACACACTCTGGATTCAGATACAATAAACTGGAGAACAGTTAATATAGTGCATGATTTCAGATACAGCCAGCACCTTTTATAATCATACACCAACCCAACACAGCTGTCACTGGTTCATGTGATGTGATCCTCTTCTACAGGGTCTCTCTCAACGACTTGGGACATGGTGGTCCCGCCAGTGGTCACTGTCTCCAGAGGAGAAGACGCCTTCCTCGACTGCTCCTTCACCCACCCCCGTCAGCAGCGGTATTCAGGGGAGATCACTGTGAAATGGCTGGCCGGAGAACCAAAAGCTTCACCATTCTTCATCTGTTCAGTTAGAAACAACTCTATGGATGGACTTGGCAACTGTTCAGCTTCTGGATTAAAACGTTCCCTGGCTGGAGACCCTCGACGGGGGGAACTGTCCCTCCTCATCAGGAAGACACAGCTGATGGATAATGGAAGATACTTCTGCAGAGTGGAGCTGGAGGTCCAGAGGGAGGGTTACCAGAAAGAGACACAGCTTCATGTGACAGGTAAGATTCACCTGAGAGTTAAAGAGATGTTGTTGTTTCAGACCTAATGCTTTTTGGTCTTTTTCATCTTCCATAATTTCATCATCAAACTGAAATGACAATAACTCATCCCAGTTTGGAGTCAAGTGATGAAACAGGAAAACATTATTACAAAATGATGTAATTAAAAAAAATTGTGTTGATATTTTTTTTATTATTAAAAAAACAAGAAAAAAAACCCAATATGATTTGTTGTATGAAAATGAAAAACAAACAGTGTTGATGGACAAATGCAAAGACAGGGTCACAATCATGAAACCAAAAAATAAGAAGAATAAATTTCTCCTATTGGAGGAGATTTACAGAGCAGATCAGTTTATTGTGTGCAGAAGAAGAACTGGACTTAAAATCTACTGAACAAAACAGGAGCAGAGTGAAAATGAATGACTTGATATGGAAGCTCTGAAAGGCAAGTGATTTATTTTTAAGTGTTGTTGTACTGACACCAAATCAGACTAAAAGCATTCATGTTGAATCCACTCTAAAGGTACATATAGATTCAGTGTTAATGTTACTTTTTAATCAACAAAACTAAATAAACACATATTCTGATTGTGTGTTTGCAGCTGAACCTCAGATCCTGAGTCTCTCTCTGGCGGAGACATCCCCCGACTCAAACAGCGCCCCCCGGAGGCTGCAGTGTGAGGTGGAGGGACACCCACTGCCTAAGATAGTCTGGCTGTCGGCCTCCAGGAAGCAGATAGAGAACCGGGGGGAGTCCTCTTCGTCCAGCCTGTACCGACTGATGAGCTCTGTGCTGTACCTGGAGGAGGAGGTGTTGACCTGCAGGGCGGAGAGCGAGCTGGGCTATGCAGAGAGGACGTATCCGCCCAGTGACACTCTGATGATAACACTGGTTGTGTGTGGACTCCTCCTCCTGCTGCTGCTCTCTGCAGGTGTCATCATCTACCACCTGAGGAACAGAGGTGAGCTGCTGTGAAACAATATGGTTCCATCATGCGGAGCTCAGGCTCTACAGCTTCATGGGCTGTGATTCACTGATTTATTCATGGTTATAAATTCATTATCTTTATAGATCAGTTATGAGTCATTGATAAGAACAAGTCTGGTGTTGCCTCTAATGAACAGTTTGACCACTGATCCTCTGGAAACGTCTCCTGCACACTTGATTTTAAACAATAAAACTGCAGCAAACATGTTAAGATATAGTAGAGTAATGAGAGCGAAGCCACGCCCCCTCTGTGTGTGATGTCATCTGAGTTTCTCTGGTCTTAATATTTGTAGCTGGTCTGGTAATGTGTGCATGTCATTGTGAAACAGTTGGTCCTCCCCACATTTATAAACACACAGGCTCCGCCCACAGGTGTGATGTCACAGTGCAGTACGCAGCTTTCAGGTGAAAGTGACCTTCCAGAACGTTTTCATCTAAAAAGAGCTTCATGTAAAAGTGTCAGAGCAGGGGAAAGAAGTGACATCACTGACTCAGATGAGTCAAACCAACCAGCGTCAGGTGGTTTAACCTCTTCACCTGCTGCTCCTCATCTTACTCCCAGTTTAAAAGAAGAACAAGTCGTTTTCATTTTCATTCTGCTGATTCCAACAATCTCCAACTTCAAAATGTCACTTCTGTTTTAACATGTCTCTTGTTTCTCCTCAGCTCGATCTGACTCTGCTCCTATTTATGGAAATGCTGACTTCAGTAGTTGAACCCTAATTTATCTTTGAAGTTTCACATCTGCAAACAGTTTTATTCATTTATGTTCCTGCAGTCTGTATATGTACTGTACATCACCTCAGTCAGTCTCTATCAGCACAGTAGGAGAGGAGTGTGTTTTATCGTTAGTACGGAGGCTCAGAGGGACCAAAATATCAAACCAACCAATCCCGAAACAGAGAAGAAAGACAAGAGACTGTCCTCCAATAAGAAAACAAGCCCACAGTTGTCTGTGCAGCAGCTCATTATGACCTATAGTTACGTTTTGTTGCTAGGCGACACCCAGTGGCCATAGTAATTATAACAGGAGCAGAGGAGAAAGTCAGGTGATGTAGCATGAAGAGGGAAAAAGACCACCTTAAGAAGAGGTTCAGTGTTCAACACCTGTGTGAAACCACCTTAACCTCATCGTTATCATTGTCACTATGACAACGAAGGTCCTCTCATCTTACAGAATGACATATTTTTAACCCAAACCACGATATTTTCCTAAACCTAGCCAAACATAAGCTTAGCTGCATGTTTATTATATGTAACCATGGCAACCAAGGTCCATCCCTATGGCTCATATCAGTGCGTTGGAACAGACGAGCTACAGACAAACGTTTCCCACAAAAGCTACAGAACAGAAAGAAAAGAAACGTAGAAATAATCAGCTGATTAATCACCGATCCGATCTGACATGAACGCCTCACAGGAAGTCAGGTGGAAACATTAACAACCTTCTGTTTTCCTGTTGTGACATGTGAAGTGAAGAATCATGGACAGCGAGCCTGTGATTCTCCAGCTGACAGCAACGCCGAGGATAAGCTGGTCTATTCAGCCATCACCCTGAGCACGTCCACTTCCTGTGAGTCCCGTTCGCCTGGAGGTCAGAAACAGATTTCCCTCCTACAGCTGTTAGAAACGTTTCTCTGAGCTTCTCTGTGTCACAGGAAACACGGTCACAGTCTCTCCTTCCTGAGTTAGTGTTTCTGCAGAACATGATGATGTCACAATGAAGTTGACCTTTGACCTTTTGGATATAAAATATCATCACCTCATTTTATCCTTATAGACATTTGAGTTAAATTGTGGCATAATTAGTGAATGTTTTTTCTATTTAATTAGATTTTAGTTCAGTCAAGGTGTGACTGAGTTTCAGGGTCATGAGAGTTCAGACGCTGGAAGAGAAACAGTCTGAGTCGAGTTCTCAGCTCCTGCAGCAGCTGATGATAATTTGCTGTCTTGTATTTAAAGAGACAAGTGTTTGAACAGAGACTGTGATCGAAGCGTCAGCAGCTTCACTACTGTTCACACACATGCTCAAACTATTCCTCCAAAATAAAAGGACTCCAGGTGAAGCAGCTGCGTAAGGTCTGACGACGTGTTGTTTTTGTCGTCACAGCGCCACCTGCTGATGTCATCGGCTCACGGCAACACGAGGAGACAGGTGAGTGTGACTCCGCACAAACAGGACAAATCCCACACTCATTCACATCTGTCAATCACTTTACAACAGAGACACTGTCATTTCACTATCAATCAGACAATCAACAGATCAATAATCAGCAGCTGTTTCTTTATGTCTCTGAACTGTTTGTCATCATGTGTGTTAAAGGCTGAGCTGTTTGTTTTGGCAGGTGTCGTGTACGCTGTTGTGAACATCCGGTCCTGACTGAGGGATGGACGATATCAGCCTGATGTGATGAAGAATGAGGACAACAGCTGATTCACACACATTTATATTTTATTCTTTATCTTTCAGGAACAACAAACAACATGTAAAAATAAATGATGTGCTATTTCCTGGAATCTGCACATAGTCTGTACATATGTTTAAGGTTCTGTTTCATATGTTTTATTCTCTTGTTCTCATGTGCGTCACTTATGATTGGTTGTTTAATAAAGAGTAATTTCTGTTACTGATCTTTCTGTTCCTCTTATATTGTGATAGTCTGATTCTTGGAGGAAGTGTCAGATGCTGTGGACATTACCTGGTCATTACCTGTAAGTAACGTCTCCACATGTTGGAACCTCGTGCAGAAACAGACTGAAGTTAAGGTTTCAACTTTAATCACCTTTTTGCCAGTTCATCATTACAATGATTTAAGGCACCTGAATGCATCAGTCTGTGTGTCCTGACTACGCTGCGTTCAGGTGCACAATCAGATGCTGAACACTGTTATGACCTGTCGAACTCAGATTTATTCCTGTGGTGATTTCAGAGTCTGTCCATGGACTTGAGTTTAACTCAAAACATGTAAATAAAATAAAATACAATAAATAATAAAATGAAATACAAAATCAATTAATAAAAAATGTTATCTGATAATTACATGTCATTCAATCATATAGGCATGATTTACATCAACACCCTGACACAAAAATCATCCTGATGTTTGTTTCAACATCAACTGACACAAAAAATAATTAAAAGCATATTCCACGACAAAACAAGGTTTACAAGCATCCATGAATATGTTCTACTAAAATCCTCTAATACAATAAACCAGAACAACGCCTCGTTTTCCAAACATGATGGGAATACGGCACATGTACACACCTGTGGTGATTTCAGAGAGGGATGATGCATAGTATCTTCACAGCAACACCTAATATGAGAAACACCCGCTTATATGTCCGTCTCGCAGGAAGATAAAATGGCGGGAACTAACCCTCATAGACATATCATGGATGAGACGTACACGTAGACGCCGTAATGGCCGCTGGATCGTACATCAACGTCGCCGCCATATTGGAGCGGGTAAGACTGCTCTGTAAGCGAGTGCGAGTAAACGGAGGAGCTGCAGGTTTTCTGGATAAAAAGATCTGCAACATTTGAAGTTCAGTGAAAATAAAAGTTTTGTCTCTAGTTACTTAGAGTCGTGATAGTTTAGTCTGTAATCTGTGAGGCCACTAGTAGAATCTGCACTTGAAGAGCTCATGTGATTACAGCCCAGACTGTCACGATTCTAATTAACTGGAGACCAAAATTTTATTTTCACTGCACGTGGATCATAAACCCTGAATATAAGCACGACTCATAAGCACGACGGTTGAGAAATATAAACATTATAGAATTTTTTATCCAGAAAAACGGACTCTATTCATTCCTGTTTGTTTACAGGGCAGTCTTGCCCAGACCAATATGGCGGCGACGTTGACTTATCGTAGCAACGGGCTGAAGCGACCAATGCGGCATCTATGTATATATGTCTATGGTAACCCCCACACAGGGAAAACGTTTATGTTTTGCAAGGTTACATTAAATCTCAAAACTCACTGTACAAGTAAAACAACAGAAAACTACAGGGTCCATGTTTCCTAGTGATATTATCAACCAACTGTTCTGTGAACTCCACATTATAACTTCAGTTTTTCACTTTACAATCACGCTGCCTCAGACTGACGAGAAACAGGAAGTGATGCGTCACGCCTGCTAGCAATCAGTAGAGGGCGCAATAACACAGGCTGATACAGTGCTACCAACAAGCAACAGAACAAATGAGGGATGTCGGTGAAATTAACGCATATTATATCACATCATGAAAAACTAATTGCAAAAAAAAACAACTCTGGACAAGCCTTCATCTTGTTCCTGTCAGAGTTCATCTCCAACCATCATGACGTCATGTTTGTCTGCAGCGTACAGACAGATGGGAAAGAGAATTTTATTTTCTGATCCAGATGCTAAAAATAAACTGTAAAAGTAACTTAATTATAACAGAATTCATGAATCTTCATCACCTGTGTCTGATCTCAACCCACTTTCAGTCTAAGTTTAGTTCTCCTGTCTGTTTAGTGTTTTGATATTACCTTGATATTAGATCAGAAAGTTGAGAACATCCTGACAGAGGCCAAAGGACTAGAAATAGGATGTTTTTGTCTCGAAACTTCAGATCTTAAAATAAATGTCTGCCCCCCCCATAAAGACACAGTACAGTTCACTGTCCCAAACCCCCCCAGGTGTGACTTCTGAAGCTGATGCCAACACAGCGTTTCTTCAGGCTCTACATGAGGCGGAGGGACACACACTGCCTGAGGTCATCTGGCTGTCGGCCTCCAGGAGGAGGAGGTGTTACCTGCAAGGAGGAGCAGAGAGGACGTATCCACCCGTGACACTCTGATGATAACCCTGGTTGTACGTGGACTCCTCCTCCTGCAGTACAGGAGTCAGAGGTGAGCTGCTGTCATGAAAACAGAACATTTAGATGTAGAACTGTGACTTTGTTCCTCCTCTCTAAAACCCAACACCGGTGCGGTTTGCTGGTCGTGGGACAGATGGCGAGCTCAGCATCATGTGGCATCTTGTTCTCTGACATCACGTCCTGAACGTCCTCAGGTCAGAAGCTGCTGTCAGACAGAAATGACCTTTCCTGTTTCCTTCTGATCTCTCTGCAGCTGGAGTCAAACCTGCTCCTGTCTATGTTGTTTTATTTTATTCATTATTTTATCTCATTTTAATGTTTTTAATGATTTTTATTTTAGATAAATACAATGTTTTATGTTCATGTCATTATTATTATTATTATTATTATTATTATTATTATTATTATTATTATTATGAGAATGACACTATTAAGTGAAACCAGCTCCACACTTTTATGCAGGAGAGAAGAAGAGAGGCTCAGAGCCTCCTCTCTTCTGATTGGCTCACAGACCTGTTGTCACTAGAGCTCCAGAGAGAAGCCTGAGAGAGGAGATGTAAAACTACACTGAGATGGTTTTTATTTCTTCTTATGGATCAACACTGTCATTATTTGTGACTGTGAAAAAAAGTATAAATTACATTATACTAAACAGGTCCTTGATTTTGATTGGTTGATTACATCAGCATTATGTCAGATGTTGTTGTCTATTTCATCTTTAACCACTGACAGAAATGATTTAAGATCAAAATCTATCTTCAAGCTTCCTTCCCCAAAGTTGTGGTCTCTGCTCTTTGAAGGTTTAACCCGGCCAATCAGACTGCTTCTACCTGGAAACAGAAGCTCTGTCTCCGGGAAGCATTTCTCAGATGAACTTTAAACCCTGCTTCAGAAACCAGTGTGGTGTGGTGAGAGCGGCAGCAGCTGTGGTGCATCTGAGGCTTTCACTGCGGCTTCTCTGTTCAACACACCCGAAACTTCAGCCTGAACACAGTCTCAGGTGGATGTTAAAGCCTCCAACTGTCCCCAGGTCAGTTTGATCCGACAGGTTTGGTCCAGATCAGTTTAAACCTTTCAATCCAGCAGCTGCTGCAGGTTCCAGCTTCACTTCCTGCTGCTGCAGCAGCTGCTCAATGTGTGACTGTGTGTGTGTGTTGGTGTGTGTTGGTGTGTGTTTAACCACTTTGTGGCCACAGGATGTGGTTGAAAGTGTGAAGCATTTGTTGTTACGTCTCCATGGTAACAAATCAAGCCTCTGTAGAAATACCTGCTGTAGAAGAAATGTTTTAAACTTCCTGCTGCTGGTTCAACTTTTAATAACTCACCATACAAACCCTGACGAGTCTGCACGACAATAACTCTGTGACACACACGTGATCTTACAGTGTCTCGTTCTGCCCTGGAGTCAAACCTTCCGGTCCACCGTCACACGTATGACGAGTGTGTCCTCTACGAAGTTCAGAGGCCCACACACCTAAAACCACCAGGAGAGACTCGTTCAGACTGAACCCTCCCCCGGCTCTGCAGCGGTTCATACACACTAAACAAGTATCACTAAGTCATTTCTACACAGTGAACCTTCGGGCCCCTGGGGGTCCGGGGCCCCGCTGCAGTTGCTCTGCCTCGTCTCCTCCAGGTTTAGTGTTACTGAGGCTGCAGTCTGAATTATTCATGAGAGCAGTGAGAGCATTTTAGTCAAAAATTCAGGAGGCTGATCCAGATACTCAGCTGGTGACTCATCTCTCAGATCTAAACAGAGGAGATGAAGGAAACACTGACGACGACCAAAGTTCACACGAGCTCTGAGGGAGCGAGGGTTTCACAGCCGAGTCGTCTGAACAACAGCAGGAAAACAAACTCAGAGTCATACTAACATTCTTTCAAGTGAACTCTGACTTCACTTATTTTAACTTCAGAAGAAGTGAAGTTATTTGGACAAAATAAAAACATTTCATCATGATAAACCATCTCCATGACAACCTAATCAGCCAATGAAGTCCACAGGATGTGGCTGAAAGCTTCAGAAAGACAAAACCACAAAGAGACAAAAAAACAACCACGAAGACACAAAATAAACAACCACGAAGAGACTCTCCACAACCACAGAGAGATAAATGTTATGTGCTGATATTATTTCATATCAATGCCACTATTATAACGTTCAGTATTTTAGTGCTGTGACAGTTTGTTACATGAGTGTAAATGTGAGTATCACACATTTTTACTCGTGTTACAAACGCACCGTGTTCTCCACAGACGTCTGAATCAGAAAGAGGCAAAAGAAACAGAGATCCTGACTGTGAGATGACGGAGGTGTTGGCTGCAGACACAAACACAAGCCGGTGGTTTACTGCCTCAGAACCAGGTCCAGAATAGACCAGCAGAACACACCTCACCGTGTCTGCTGGAACAGTCTGTCCTGTGTGTCCAGTGTGTGTCCAGTGTGTGTCCAGTGTGTGTCCAGTGTGTGTTCAGTGTGTGTCCAGTGTGTGGATGTGCAGAGAAACGTCCTGACCGGCGCTCTCTGTTGTCTCCACTGATCAGAGAACAATCGTGTGTTGTCAGAGCGTCACTGTGTTTCTCTGGAAGCTTTCACACTCAGCACTGCTGCTGCTGCTGCTGCTGCTGCTGCTGCTGCAGTGTTTCCTGACACAGACCACACCTCCAACACACACCAGTCAACACTCACACACTCAGCCATTATGAAACTAGGAGATACAGGATGTTTACTTCAAAATAAAGGCACCAAAACTCAGCTTCTTTAAATTAGAGTAACCACAGCCACAAAAATTAGACATTTCTGACATTGTGTCTGAAAACAAGTAAAACTCTTTAAATACATTTTCTTTATACACATATTAATGTGTTTGATTGTTTGTGTGTGTGCTGCTGCCCCACTGAGAGACAGTACAGTTAATGAAGATAAATAATGTACACATTATTGCACAATGTGTGCAATAAATTTGTAACATACTTAAACTGTAATTACAGCAGATATGTTGTTATTGCCAGGGTATGTAATTATTACAGATTTCATCGCCCGTGTTACTTTGGTAGAAGATGCTCATTACATATTGAATTATTAGAAGAAATTTAAACCACACTGTCCTGGGTGACATGTTCATTCAGAAACAGCTGCACGGATCAATAACAGCGATCACTGTCACAGTCTCTGGAGAGAAGTTCCTGTAAAGGCGGAAGCACACACAATACCTGTTAGTCACTACATTCATTCACTGCTGTTTTGGTCTTGTCATGGGATTTATACAGAAATACTGAAAATACAGAACATTGCTTTAATAATTATTTTACTGCAACAGTCAAATTATATTTTTTTTGTAAAAATTATTTTTCAATTTAATTTCACGCCTTTCACCGCTATGTTACTCCTTAATATTATAATTCGGTATTGATTTATGATAAATTACCCTGTAAAAATAAAAGTCAGCCCAGAGCCTCCACGGCTGCTGACCGGAGCTTTTATTCTGAAATCTCTCCCCGGAAGTGTCCGTGTTTATCCGGTGTACCTTGACGGTGGTGGACCGTAGCGACAGACGGGCTGTAACGTTAACGCTGGACGGTCCCTCCCTGCGGCAGCTGAACTTGTTAAAAGGTTTATTTACCGTGTAACTTACCGGAGCAGTTTTACCGCCAACATGTCGCACACCGTCATCACCACCACGACGACCACCAGGACGACCGGCGACGGCTTCAGCCTCAACACGGGCTACACCCGCACCATCCCGGGACTGCTCAAGATCGGACAGATGGTGAGAGTCGGTCCGCCTGAAACATGTCGGGTTAACCCGGAGCTTACCCGGAGTTTACCCGGGATGTCAGAGTTTACCACCGTGTCGGTTCACACCGAGGTACCGGGACATGTTAACCGACAGAACCGTTAGCTTCACCGTGAACCAGGAGTTTCTAAAAGTGGTAAATAATTTAAAATGCACGGAGGTGTGGTTCTGCTGCTCATGTTGACTCTGTGTTCAGATAGATTACTATTACTACGTGATTATTATTATTATTGATTGTCGATTTATCTGACGATTAATTTCCCGGTTAGTCATTTGATTAATTAAATGTAGAGAAGAAAACATGGAGCATTATCCAGGAGTGTTTCCCATTAACCCGAGGTAACGTCTTCAAATTATGATTAATGTATGTTAATTAAAATTAGTGTTTTTTTCCAGCCAACACTTCAGAGCCCAAAGATATTTAAGTTATTGTCATATATAATAATGGAAATCAGTAAATCCTCATGTTTGAGAAGCTTGCAGCAGAGTTCTGGTTTTTATGCTTAAAAATGTCTGAAATTATAATTAAAATGATCAAATTTTACATTTACATTTACTCATTTATCAGATGTTTTTGTTTGTATTTACATCAGCTTCAGTGCAGGAGGAGACCCTGGTGTAAGTTTAATACAAAGAGAAGAGGCTGTAGAACCAGCAGTGGTCTAAAACACTGTATGTCCCAAAACATTGAACTGTCCCTTTAACAAGCTGAACTGGTGTCACATGGTGTGGGTCGTATCAGCAGCATGGGACTGAACATGTCTCCCATCAGAGTTTACTGCGGCTATTTTACCTTTTGTTTGTGAGGACGTTGGATTTACAGGTTTAGATTTTACCCCCGTCTCTGATCTACGCCTCTAGTTTTATTCTACTGTATTCTTTTCTTTCTTCTTGTCAACGAACCTCATGTTGAGACTCAAACATCACTGACTGTCTCCTGCTTATGTGATATATTGATGTTTATTATATAGATCTGGTTCGTCTGAGCTCCACTGTTTCCATTAGAGCTGCCCAATAAATTGAAATATGATCTATATCACAATATGGCCGAGTGCAATATCCAAACCACAGGAGCTGCAAGTCTAAAAGGTAAAATGTGTCACACTGTCAGCACCATCAGTGTCATGGTGCTACAGAGACGCCACGGCCTACAGATCATATTCTCCAGACGTAAAGGAACATGATTGATTGGTGCAAGACCAACAGAAATCACATCATCATTTCTATATTTTTTCAGTGAAATTCACTCAATAGTTCTCAGAAACCACCATCAACACACACCGTCCTGCTGCTCCAAACACTCACTACAGCACCTAATGTGGATTCATCCACTGCTGAAAATAGTCCCCAACAAATGCACAGTTTTGTGGCTTTATTTTTAACTCACTCAAACTACAGTGAGCTGCTGTTTCAGGAAGTCACTGCTCCTGTTTTTAAAATGAAATTGTATTTAGTGAGGAGTCTGTAGAGATTCACATCTTCAGTATGAATCAATGAGCGCCGAGCTGAGAGAGAAGGCAGGACGAACACACTGATTCTTTAAACCACAGTTACAGTTTCTGATAACAGCTGCTCGGTGTCTCTGGTCTTTTTGTTTTTTTTTCCCAGCTTGCTTTGCTCATCGCCTTCCTGTGCGTCCGCTGTGTTCGGGGTTGGCCCAGCTGGGCGGCTTTCCAGTACTTTGAGGTTGTGGCGCTGTGGTTCCTCATCGCCTTCCTCATCTTCTTCCTCATGCACCTGTTCAGGCTGCAGGCGAAGATGCCGTGCATCAACTGGCCGCTGACGGTGAGCGGGAAAACAGCCTCATGTTTCCGTGTGTGTGAGTGTGTGTGTGTGTGTGTGTGTGTGTTCACATTCTCACTTCTGCATTTCACTGAACTTCTGAACCACTGATGTTTGATCCTCAGTGTTAGACAACAGGAAGTTGAAGTTGTGTTAAATGTGTGATGCTGAGGACCAGAGGAGGTGAAGTGATGACTGTGAAGGTTTTACGATGATCTTTTCTACAGAAACAAAAAGAGAAACGTTAAACGACAGTCAGTCACGTCTGAGGTGATGCGTCCATGTAACTGACCCATCAATGATGAAGGCAGGTTTATTTCCACAGCAGCATTCAGACACAGCGCACAGAGCTTTACAGAGGCAGTGAAATACAACAGTTAGATGACATAAAAGTAACATTTACAAAAAATAAAAACACATTTAAAAAAATAAAAATGAAAATAATTAAATACATAAGATCAGGTAGGAAACGTAGGACACCTTTTTAAAAGAAATGATGAAAGAAGCAAAGGCACTAGATGTTGCGTATGTGGTTTATGATGTTTTAAGGCCTGATCTTAACGAGCTGACGGTTGTTGTGATGAAGCTTCAGCTGTGACATGAATCTTGTTTCTGCTGTTTCAGGAGTTCTTTCATTACTCCGTCGGGACCGTCCTCATCCTCATCGCCTCCATCGTGGCCGCGGTGAATAGCGGAGGAGTTTCTGCCCTGGTGGCCGCAACGGTATGTAAACACGCACACGCTGGGATACCTGGGTAAATCACAACTCTCCTTACAACCTGATGAGTGTGTGGAGTCTTTGTGGAGGTGACTCGTCTGTTTAACATCATGTACAGTTCACACCAGTGTTTTCACAGCTTCATTCAACAACACTCATTCATTTCATGACTTTATGTATGAACTGATCTGAGTGGACAAACAATAATGTAAAAGAACTGGTCTGATTTCTGTGGGGGGGGGGGGGGGGGGGGGGGGGGGTGGATGTGCCAGTTATTACTATGTTATTACATCAGCACTCTGTAGTTATTACATCATTATTCGCGGCGCGCTCGGACCACACCCATCTCTTTTGAGCTCAGGTGAACACCCCTAGTTTCTGGATCTGACGTGGTTCGCTCTTGTGAACAATATGAAACTGTTGTTGTTTGTATTTTCATTGTGGTATTTGTTGAAGTCCCTGCTGTTTAAAATGAGGCAGTCATGCCTCAGTAAACAAGCAGAAACACCTGGCATGTGTGGAGTGAAAACAGCTGATTTACAGGTTTTATGCACCTGGTTTCCTTTGCGTCCAGCTTCTGGTCTGAGAAATGTAATTTCGTATTTATTCTTTTATAAAATGTTATTTGGATGTTGCTGCAGTCTTCAGGTAGTGTTGAAATTAATCTGACACTTTTTAAATGTAACTTAAAAACTTTGAAACACAATCACACGAGTAAAAAGGAAACTGTGTTTTCAACATTAAAACAGACTCTGTTGTGTTTGTTTTCAGGTGTTTGGGTTCATAGCGACTTTCCTGATGGCCGTTAGTTTGTGGACGTCTTACAGTGTGACCTGTGGCCCTCATCAGACCGGTACGTTGTCATCTCCTCCTCGGTGCAGCTGTTCACAGCATCACATTCATGTTTTCACTAAATTAACCTGCAAGAATAAACGTTAAACTAATGTTGTTATTATAAAATTGTCATGAAGACTTGGTGAAGTGTCGCAGAATCAGCAGCTGATCCAACAGAACAACAGAGACGAGAAACCAGCCGTGAATTCAGGGAGAAAATCAGAGCTGTGACAATGAGTCAGTCAATCAATAACATCTGCAACTATTTTGATAATCGATTAACCGTTTCATTTTTCAAGCAAACATTACAAATATTCAGGTTTGAGCTTCTCAGACCTGAAGATGTCTGGAGTCTGTTCTACAACACGGACACAGTCCTGCCGCTGACACTGAGGAATGCTACGAAGCTAACGATGCTAATCAGCCGTTAAAGAGGAACTGACAGATTATCAAGATATTTTTACCAATGAACCAACTGTGTGTTTGATAAAAGAGACTTCCAGTGATGGTCGGACATGTGACTCAGATCCACATGACAGAAATTATTAATACTATACTGAGAGTCTGACTCCCTCTCTGTCTCCTCCCTCCTTTGCGCCTTCCTTCCCTCCCTCCTTCGCTCCTTCCTCTACCCTCCCTCCCTCCCTCCCTCCCTCTCTCCAGGTGCATCAGTGTAAAGAAGCGACCCGTCTTGTAGGAACCCGGTGGCTGTGTGTGCAGTTTGCTGTGTCCTGGTCAATTTTCTGCCTAGCAACCACCGGGATAATAACCTGATTGGATTATAACTCATACTGCAGAGGTAACAGAAGTGCTGATCCAGGACCAGCTGTCGTTTGCAACAATCTGAAACGTAACCATCAACACCCGATCGTCATGGTAACACCCCGGGAGGACAGTAGTTTCATTATTACTCAGAACACATTTTTATTCCTCATTGAATCTTATCAAACCTCTGAAGCCACAGTTCCATGTTAAAGGTGCTCAGTGTCACATTGAACCATCGATTGTATCAGTCACACATTTGGTAGAATCAGTATCAGTCGGCTGGTATTGTTCTCACAACTACATTTCCCATCGTTCCTGCTGCTCCTCGTCCTCACTTTCCCGCCTGAAAAGCGTAGACGGGTTTAGAAATGTTTTTTTCTTTCCATGAGCTTTTCTCATTCTTCCGCCGTCAGCGATCAAAAATGTAAAGAAGCTTTTTAGAAAAGTTTAAGCTGCGTTAGCTTTAAAAGAACAGCGCCCCCTTACTGTCGTGTGCCATAAAGCAATGCAGATGATTTCCCTCCAAAGTCTCACGGGTCTGAGCGCAGCCACAGTGTCTCTGTGTCGCCGCTTCATCGCATCTCCTCAGTGGTTTACAGTATCTCGCTTGATTTGCTCGATTCGTTTTAAAAGTTCATCTATTCCAACTTTTTTATTCTACTTTGAAAATTCCTCAAGCTCAGTAAAAGCAGTCTGGACGACAGACGTGTGACGCCCTTTTTACAATCACATCAACTGATGCACAGTATAGCCCTGTTAGCCTGCTATGCTAATTTTGCTAGCACACTCAAATATTTATAAAGTCTCATTTTACATACTTCCAAACTCAAAAGTACCTGATGGTTCATGGTCAAAAAGGGGAGTGGCCTTTAACGGTCTCCATCTTGGCTACATAGCAGAAAGGGAGGGGCCACCAACGTATTTTCAAACTTGTGGATGGGGTGGCTGAGGACGGAGGACACGTGGTTGGCGGCCCGACTTCGCATGAAACGCGGTGCACACACAGGAAAGTAAAACTTAATTTTTAAGTCACGTGAGCAAAGACGGTGACGGAAAGTTTGGTGAGCGACAATCGTGGTCACGTGTTTTGATTGTCATTCCCGGTGTGTACGCAGCGGCAGTGTTTGATTTGAGACTTCACTGTTGAGATTCACGTATTACACATGTGAGTGTACTGAATACACAGAGTACTACATGTGAGTGTACTAATGGAAGTATGTGAATTGGGACTCAGTCATCGTCATCACTCTGGTGTGCTAACAAACATTAACAAGCTAATATTTTACAGAAAATAGCTTGCATGCTAATGACTTTGTTAGCATGCTAAAACATTACTCAGGGGCTAATACTTACGTGTGCTAAAGAACAACAGCATGCTAAAGATTTATGTGAATTCAAACAATGAAAAAGAAAACATTAGCATGCTAACAACGCAAACACAAAAACCAAGAAAAAGAAAAACTTTGTTTGGTGATAATCTATATTTTTCTTATTGTCAACACACTTCATGTGCAGAACTAAACTAACAGTGAGTGGATCAAATGTGCCCCAAATACTGTGGATTAATCCGCCACTGAAAATAGTCCCCAACAAATGCACTATTAAGTAGGTTTGCCAAAAACGACCGTGCCCAGCTGTTTTCAGAACCTGCTGACCCTTTTTTAAATAATTAAAAGCTATATATTTTTGATTATTTTTTTTATGTCTTTATCCAATGGGCTTATCCCTGAGAGCCACAGACAAGAGAAGGGAAGTCAGAGAGTGAGAGACGGACTAACACACTGTTGGGTTGAGTCTGCACATGACTCTTGTTGATGATATCAAAAATCTAGACTGATGCCAGAGACATCCTTCAAACCGTGATTTCACTGCTGTGTTAAAAACAAAGAATGTGCCATTAGTTTGAGATATGAACCTTTACTGAAGCGAACAAAAGCTTGTTCTCTCTGGGTGGGGCAGGAAGCATCACATTAACTCCGCAGTTAGAGTTCAGAGAACAAATCAATTAGCTGTCTGCTTCAGCCATTAGCTCAGTATCAGAGGAACTGCCTTTATTACACTTCCACTATGATCTACGGTCCTTGCGATTGTCCTTGGTGCTTTTAAAAAACTGTTAATCATTTGAATTTAAAGTCAATCTCAGAAAGAAAGCACATGACAAACAGAGACAGTTCCACGTGAAGAGAAAACAGGATCAAGATTTCTACGGAGTCTGACGGGGGTCAAATCATGGAGACAAGTACTGATGTGGAAATTAGTTTGCACACGTTCATGAACTTAACTCACACATAACAAAATGTGCATGGATTCATAAAGAATATGTGTAAAATAATTAAAAGTACGGACAATAATGAATAGTGAAAAACATACACGTGAATTTATAAAGTTTACAGATTAATATGTGTGTATGGATTGATGAAATGTCCGCACCGATCAGACACATTTAAACGGATTGGGATTAATAACCTGAACACAGATGAACAAAACAAAGAGAAGGATTAATAAAAATATGTTTGATAAAACGTATGATTAGTAAAACGTACGGACAGATAATAAAAGGTAAAAGGTAACATTAATAAAAATGCATGATTAATATAATGTACACGGATCAATTAATCTACACAGATTAATTAAAGGTATGAACGTATAATCAACCATATGCATGAAGAGATAATAAAATGTACAGACATTAATAATTAACTACACATGGATTTATTCAACATACAGTATGTACAAAGGATGAACTAAAACATCCATATGGATCAATAAATTGTATGTACAGATAAACAATGCATGGATTAATCAGGTGGTTTTCAAAATAAAAGTAGAAAGTATAATTGAAAAAGATTGAAAGTAAAAAAAGCATTTAACTGTCAGCAGCTAATGAAGGCACAGACTAATAACGGGTCAGAGGAATAGTGAAATACTATAAATATCTGGTGTGTTGCACTTCATAAAAACAAGTCACAGCATGTTTGCTTTTGTACAATTCTCTGACTGTTGAAGCACAAATGTGTCTGAAATTACCTCTCCTGGCCTTTACTGCATGTTGTAGTACTTTCACTATTTGTCTGACTGTGATTTTTAATCTGTGCTTCCATTTAGTGAAAGACAGAATAACAAATTATATATAACCCTTGACTCTATTTAACCCACCTAGACCATTATTCAGATTCTTACTTTCACGTCATTAATATGTGCAACTTATTTTCCACATCACATGACCCCCGGCTCCGTAGTTTTCTGACCAATCAGTGGATCTGGGCTGTTAAACAGAATCTACTGAATAATACACCGATGCTTTGGTGCAGTGGATTAAAACCAAGTTGTTTTTAGTTCTACAAACATTTCTGATTGACCCAACATTTAGTTGAAGTGAAAGTTGTTACTGCAGCAAACTTGAAAGGTCACATAAACTATTAGCCATGTTAAATGAGCTTGTTTAAGCTAAATAACCATGTAAGATATATAAGCGTGTTTTTACTGCAAAACCCTTTTCTCACTCGTCTGAGCACAAATTGCTGTAAAACAACTTTGTGTACAAACAAAAAATAAAACAAAAGTCATTTAATTAATCATTATCTAATCATTTATTAACTGATAAAAGAAAAGGGACCAAGATTATGAATCTGACATTTGTTGCCACCTTTCAGTAGTTAACAGTTTTCAATACTCTGCTACGGACACTTAAAAGTAGCTAGTCAGCTAATGTTTACTCCTCAAAGTTCACTAGCTAGCAAAGCTTAGCTTATCACCAACAGGGATCTTTTGTTTGGGGAATGACATAAAACAACTTTATATCATGGCAGAACACTTTGTTGTTAAGTATTTCTGCTAATATTAGCTCTAGCTAACAGGCTTACGTTAGCATGTCTTGCTTGACCTAAGTTAAAAATGGCTGTGCTAACCTAGCAACAAAATCTTTGGTGTAAAACAATTTTGAATTACTGAATTATCCTTTTTACTTTCGGAGTCTGTCACAATTATTTATTGTAATTCTAATTCAGTTTAGCATTAGCTAATACGCTAATTCAATATTCCATTCCATATTGGCCTTATTATTGATATTATCAAGGTGATCTTACCTGTTAGCTAGGATAACTCTATCATTTAATCACTTTAAACTGAATTAACCTTTATGTTGCTGACTAGCTGTAAGTATTAGCTTCACTCTCTTCCTGTGGCAGAAGGTGGAGGAAAGATTTCACTGAAAGCCATTTAACATGTACTGTATGTGTCAACACACAGAAACCAGTTTCAGCCATTGGAGTCTCTAACATTGGAGTTCAGCAGTCAGCTAACCTACGGGGAAAAAACAGATTTAGATTTAATCAACTGATTGTTTGTAGAACTAAAAGTCATATCCACAGCTGTTTTCCTCTGGCTGCTGGAGCGGGCGTTCTCTGTGATTTTAGTGTGAAACTCTCCTGCCGTTTCCTGTTTCCAAACTCTTGATGATGTGAAACTGAAGTGTGCTTTCAGTCGGAGACGTTCATCCTCAGATTACTGCCTTACTGTCGATCAGATGCCAAAAATCTCAGTGCGATGCTTCAGATTTTCACTGAATGTGTCTTTACATTTCCTCTGGAGCAGCACAGAATACACAACGAAGGATTTCTGTCTAATTGGATTAAAATTGAATGTTTCACTTTGACTGTGACATTTACTGGACAAATTCTAATGGATTTAAATACAGATTATTGTCTGTTGTCTTCTGGTGCTTCACTTGAAGCCTCTACACACTGTGTGATGAGAGTCCAACTGCTTCACTCAGATTATACAATCTGAATCAAGTGGCATCAGATTGTGCCATGAACGTCTCATGAATAGTAGTGTCACGATTGCAGCTGAAGTGATTGGTTAATTAATCGTAATTTTGGATTATTTGTCAAATACAAGAAGCTACTGAACGATGCTTGAACGCATCACAAGGCTGTTTGATATTTTAATGGTGATGTAATGGACAAAACAATTAGTCAGAAAAAGCATCAGCAGATTAATCAATAATGAAAGTAATCTGTCGTTGCACCACCTGGAAAATGATGTGTATAGGTTAATTTTCAAAATAAAAGACAGAAGTACTGTCTATTTTTTCTAAAATCAAGTTTGAACAAATAAAAAAAAATCATTTACTTTGTTCAAATGGATTTGACACAGATCACATGACCTGACCCTGAACTGCTCCGCTACGTGTTAATTACTGTGATTTACATTTTACAACATTACTAATCATATTTATCTTTTCACAAATTCTCCATCTTTGATGTTGAATCCAGAATAATTCCTCACATTGTTTTTCACACAGTTTAGTCACATGATCGTGAACGCACATTAATGACGAGAACAGCAGCATCAGTAGACGCAGATGACCCGGTGTGACTGACGTCCTGGTCCTGTCTCAGCAGCAGAGACAGTGACGTCCTCACAGCGTCAAACTGGAGCCTGAGGCTGGAGGACGTGTCTGTCGGGTTGAGGATTTGAACCTGCGACAGACTCACACAGTGTGTAGGTGTTCACAGTGTCACGCCCTGAGAGGCAGCAGCTGTTTTTGACCAAGTCAAACTGCTGCTTTTCACTTTGACACGTTTTACGTTTGTGTAACGGCCAGATGTTGAGCTGTGTGTTTGCTGCTTCACTGTTTGATTTTGGGTCTGGACCAGTTTGAAGCTTTATTTCCTGATACCACGTCAGCTGACCGCACCTGATGTCATCGAACATCCGGAGCTAACGCACTCGTCACTTCTTGCTCATCACTGGACAGAACAACGTCGATCTTTAGAGGTTGAGTTCGCATGCTCTGATGTGTTTCCAGGTTTTGTATTTCTATCGTTGAACTTTTGATAAACCAAGTGTTTCCATCACTATCTGCCCAGTTTACAGTTTTGGTATTGAACTTGGATATTTTTCATTGGTCCATCCCTTTTGTTTTGACTCTGGAGCTGGTTTTTATTCTGAATGTGTCCATCAGAGACAGCTGGTGTCCGTCCACTGTCCTCTGATCAGACGTTCTCTCTGGCTCCGGCCCAGAATCCACTCTGTTTACATTATTTATTTTGGCATGTTTGTATTCTCTGATGCTTAATGATGCTAATCTCACTGATGCACAGTGACCTGATGGAGAGTCGTGTGTCCACCGGGAGAAACGGGATGCTGGTGAACGGTCTGTCGTTTGGTGGCTTTAAGAACCGATCCAGGAGCAGGACCAGCCCACAGTGTGTTCTGGACCTGGTCTGGTAAAAAAAAGGTGATGTGCTCTGTAGTTAAAGATAATGATGATGATAACTTTATTTATGGAGCACCTTTTAATACAACGACACAAAGTGATTTGCAGTAAAAAATAATTAAAGTAATAAAATCTAGTTGGATTTCTCTCTTGATTTGTATCGACTGTGGAGATGAAGAGACTTTCCTCCTCAGAGAGAATCATGTTTTTGAAAAGTTGCTCAGCAGATTTCATCCTCGTCACAGATCTTAGGACCTGAGCGGTCGCGGTCCTGTGAGGTGTGTGTTCAGGATTCACTGCTCAGTCCTTTACACAGCACCGGCCCGGTGGACTCACACACTCTGATTGTTTCTTTAGATTTTCCTCCAAAGTGCCTTAATGTTGTGTTGAAGTACTGATCGGTCCTTGAGCTGCTGTCAGTCAGCTGATGGAGCCGGTTTAAAGATGGTGGCGTGTGTTGAGGTTGGTGCTGGTGGAGAGATGAAGTGATTTTATTCTACTGAAGAAGAGAAGATGTCCACACTGTTAAATGTCACATCACAAAGAGCTCACATGACTTGTGTTGTTTTCTACTTTTTTTTAAAAGTGTGTTTAAACTAAACTTGTGATTTGTTGCATGTTATAAATTAAAGGCTCATGGCACCGTTTCTGTCTCTCGCTCATTTCAGACCAGAACAACACACACAGGACAAACCATAGAAGAAGAAATATTAAACCCCAATATCAAATCTAAAGAAATGAAACTATCAATCTATTATGAAGTTATTGTTATTGTAGTGTTTGATCACTGTTGTTCATGTTTTACAGGCAGCGTTCAGGAGTGTTTGGTAGAGTTTTAAACACCTAGTGTGTGTGAGTGTGTGTGTGTGAGTGTGTGTGTGTTTGTGTTTGTGTGTGTGTGTGTGTGTTTGTGACCCTGTAGCTCTTCACCTGTCGTCCTGACCTGGACAGGTTGTTGAGGGACGTGTCACTGTGCTGCAGTTTGGACACTCACACAGATTCATCCTGGTCTCTGTGTGAGTGTACCTGAAGTAAACCAGCAGCTTCACCTGCAGGAGCAGATTGTTTTCACCTGGAGATTTACTCCAACCAGCGACAGCTTTTCTCTTTGTAGTTTTTATGAACTTTAGATGAGTTTCAACGCATTTTGACTAATTTCCCATCAGTGCTCTCTTCTCTGAATCTGTGCTCCTGTCTGACCCCTGTTCAGTTTCCAGCCCCACCCCTGATGTGGAGTCATGCAGTGAGTTATAGACTGAATGATGGAGCAGAAACATTGAATACATCACTCAGTGATGAAATAATGTTGAGACTGTTTGTCCACAGCTGAGGCTCCGACACACCCTTCAGTCTGAACTCAGCAGGAAACACTCAGTGCAGTGTGTGTGTGTGTGTTGAGTGTTTGTTTGGCTGATGGTGGGGGGGTATGATGGAATATATGAGTCACGGCTCTGTCTCTGGAGGCCGCTACATTTCCTGGACTCAGCAGCAGCTGATGGTCTGCTGCTCCCACATTGGCCAACATGAGAATTTGTTATAATGTTGATAAGAACTGAGTGTGTCACTGTTCACAAACACACCACCTCCTGAAGAGCCTGAGACAACCTCTGAGAGTTGATCTGAGATTAAAGCTCCTCCAGTGTAAAGGTCTCTGTCCATGTGTAGTGTGATTATAGATCAGGTCTAGGTTCTATATTAATACTGTGAAAGTATCAAAGCCTCAGTCCACAGAGAAATGCACACAGCCTGTATTCAGAAACTGAGCCTTAAAACCAGCCGTCAGGACTTCCTGAACTTTGTGATGTCACAACAAAGCAGTCACCAAGCCCCGCCCACCTGGACCCACCATCCAAACCTTGCAGGATTTGGTTTCTCTGAGTGTTTTTACCTGAAATCTGCTATATTTTTATTGGATCAGTCAGAAAACAGTCAGCCAATCAGAAGAGAGGCTCAGAGCCTCCTCTCTTCTGATTGGCTCACCCACCTGTTGTTACCAGAGCTCCAGAGAGAAGCCTGAGAGAGGAGATGTAAAACTACACTGAGATGGTTTTTGTGTCTTCTTATGGATCAACACTTCAAATAAAACACAGAAGAAGAAACATGGAGCTTTAAAGGATAAAACAGGTTAATTACAACTTTTGTTCAACATTTCTATCAGTACAAAAACATTGTGATTGAGATCTGTCAGTATGATAACATGATGTACACTAGGTCAAAGTTCATATAGACAGTTTGAGTCATAATGTCACTGTTTACCTTGATTTTCTCTTCAGAGACGTTTGTTTTCAACTGATCGCCGTCACTGTTCACAGCTCAGACCAGGTCTGTCCTCTGACTCAGCTCAACATCTATAAACAACTATACAACAACAATATAACGATACAACAACGATACAACAACACAACAACTATACAATAGCTATACAACAATACAACAACAATACAACAACTATACAACAACAATACAACAACTATACAACAACTATACAACAACTACAACAACAATACAACAACTATACAACAACTGCACAACAACTACAACAACAATACAACAACTATACAACAACTGCACAACAACTGCACAACAACTATAAACAACTATACAACAACAATATAACGATACAACAACGATACAACAACACAACAACTATACAACAGCTATACAACAATACAACAACAATACAACAACTATACAACAACTATACAACAACTACAACAACAATACAACAACTGCACAACAACT